CTAGTCTGGTCAAAATTTAAAAAAAAATATTAAACAAGCAGAACGCACGATACCTTGCCATCGCATTCTCCAACTCGAACTTTTCCGAAGTAGCCTTCTCCCAGTTTGTCATCCAGCTTAAATTCCCGGATGGATTTCCGCCAGTTTAAGGCTTGTTCACAATGTTCGATGTCAGTGAGCTTGATAACTGGATCCTCCTCTTTTCTGATTGGCATTCCAATATCGACGCCTGCCTTATAATGAAAAAAAGCAGGCCTTATTAGTAATCCTTGGTTAGAGTTAAGATCATAACTTCAAAGACTACAAAGTAACCGTAAGTGGTGTTAGTTAGTCCATTGTAAATGTGAAGACTAGCACCCAAATGCGTTCATAGGCACTGAAGGCAAGAAAAGCACAAACCTCTTTGAAAACAGACTCCAACTGGGAGAGATATCTGAACATGTGCCTTTCACCATCCTTGACCTTCGGCACGTAGTCACCTGTGTTTTCTTCCACCTTGTATGATTCCAGACAATCACTGCCCTTGAAGACATGGACTTGGGTTTGGCCTGCAATTTCCCGTATGATATACTGCAGTTCCTGACTGTGAGTCTTCGGCTGCCAGCCTTCACTTAACTCCCCATGATAAGCCGGTTCCCATAAGAAGTCGCAGGCTGTGGTGCAGAAAACATCGGGCATATTGATTGGTGTTTGATTTCAGAACCCGAGATGATTCACGAAATTGAGCAAGAACAATCACAGCCTATAACATTTCCTAAAACAGTTCACCTTCCTTCGACGACGGAGTTCATCGTCTGTCATACGCAGTGGACTTGCTTGTAAACTTTTGTATGCTGTATATAGTACATATACAGTAGACTCCTTCTCTTATGAAATTTCAATCGAAATTAAGCTAAAGTAGGTTAAGTAGTGCCCCCATGTAACCCTAGACCCAGAATTTTGTCATACGGAAACGGTGGTTATAGGGAGCTTATGGGTGGGGAATTAGGATAGGCAGTGGAATATAATTTGCTGAGACTAGGGGTGTATGAGGTGCACTGTTTAGACTACCTTTGCCCAAAATTCTCAAACGTATTTTCAATTCCAACAAATTATTTAAGTAGGATTGTGAAACTGACTACCCTGCAGCATAATCCCAAGGTATGTTTGTCACATCAGTATGCCGGCTTTTGTACGAGCTTCTTACTCACCACTCACAAAATGCATGTTGAAGTATGAAATGTGAGGAAGGCGTAATCTACTACCAAGTGAGTACAAGAAATACTATTATGGTACATGATTCCCATAAAATATACTTAAATTTCTAAAGATACCAAAAATTGATGAAAAATTGGTATACAGCTAAAGAAGCCATTTTGCAGGGTGTATGCATGCTGCGGCCTGTTAGAAAGAAGTTCGTTCCAAAGTTGGTATCCCAACGTGACTGAACATTGAGATTATGCTGCACGATTGACAGTTTTACGATCCTATTTTAGTTATGTTTTCAAATCGAAAACACATTTCAGAACCCCAGATGAGATTAAATGAGATAGGACAAATAGTTTTTATATGCGTAGAGGGTAAAAAAAAACTTTTCCATGCAAACCTCACTCATCCAACGGGCTCCGGTAGCAACATACTGGCAAGAGCTCCACAGGCTAGCTAGGGCACGGCTACTGAGAAATGCAAACAACCCGTCTACGTGCACCACAAACGAGCTGGTTTCCACAGCATGCATCGGATTTTAGTGATTGCTGCCTGACCTGACCTCACAGAAACATAGATCGAATACCTCATCCCATA